AACGAGGAAAATACATTAAGCAGAGGGCACGAGTTGAATGAATCATAATGAAATACATCAATCATCCAGGTGAAAGAATTTACTTGAACTTTCGCAACTATTGTTTTAACTACAAGCCACTGAATTTAGCTCACACTTAAGGTTCCGATCTTTCTTCACCTTAATTGAATTCGTAATTAATTGTCTTGTGATGGAAGGGTAAGTAGGACTGGGAAGATCTACAGAATGCAGATACGGTAGAGCCTCAGGTACTCAAACCAGTAGAGGGCTTCAGTATTCGGATAGTAAAACATGACCGTTTTGATACTAAGCTTCATTTATTTAAATAGAAATCAAGAAAATTGACTGTTTAAGACGCTATTATTGAAGTAAAGTCTCAGAGATTCCGTCAAGATTACTTAAGCTCTACGATCTAAATATAACACCTTGGGGGTTAAATACTTATGAATACGATATCTTTTTGGTTGCTAAATTACAGGAATTTTTCAACATAAGTAACTGTGTAGAATTCTATGGGGCAGAGGAAAGTATATTTGTATGTAAACAGTATATATTTACAACAGGAGAAGAGACCTATTGCTGGGAGACACTCTGTTCAAATAACAAAACGTTCCGACATAGACCGTCAAAATATTAAATTATTCGGATACGGGAGGCTCTACTGTACTATCCCATTTTGTCCTAAAGATATAAGTAGATATAAGTACTGCGGATTTTTATGCAAAATGACATTCTATAATGTAATTTTAGAAGACAAGAGCAATTGTAGGAATTCCATTCGGTTCCGACCAGAACAGAAAACTAGTTGCATCTGATGAAAGTTTTGTCTTTCATTGTATTAATCTCATACGCTTCCCTATTAAAAGTTCCTCGGTTTCATTCTCGTAAAAAGTCTCAACTACCTAACACGAAGAGGTTCTTGAAAGATTCCAGTGCTGAACCAATCATCCCCCAATCGAAAACATCAACAATTCATACCTAGGCAAATAAAGTCTATCGAGATGAAGAAAATGAACAAATTAACGATTTATATTCGCCTATTCGCTAAACACCAAATTGATCGATTCAACTTTCAGGAACAAATAACGATTAGCCAGAATTGTATCGCATCGAATCGAGAAGAATGATCGATTGACGAGAGATTTCGTGGAACAAATCGTCGACGACACGTCGTGATTTTCAACGCGACACAGTCCATCAAATTTCGCCCAACTAACGATTACCTCCCTTCCCATTCGGTTTGACTGATGCGCCCTTCGTGGGGCCGCATGTGTCAAAATATATGCAGAGAACACCGTCGCGACTGGCAGTGATTACATGCTCCCGTTGTATTACATCGTATCCGCACAACGGGCGGGATCCTTTGACGGTTGGTGCGCGCGCAACGTGTCACGTTCGTAGTATACGAACGCATCGGAACGGCGAATACTAATGCCCCCGTAATGCATCGCGTAGACTGAATTCATAATACACGTCACGCCGAAAATTGGAACACCTTGAGATCAATTCCGGGGCCGTCAGGTACCGTGTGCACGCATCTATTATTTCATGGGACTACGAACCCCTTCGATTAGCTACACGTTGGATAGTCCCGTTTAGATTTCCTGATGATTTCCGGCTGGATCTTGGTCTGATTGACTATACCGTGTGGTTGAGATAAGGAAATGCGTCAGCTTCATACAGAATGTATTTTGATTCAGTCAGGATAATTTTGTCCCAAAGTCAGGAAATGATGATTTCCGATTTTGCAAGCTGTTTTGCAGGTATTTTTAAGAGAAACACCTTTTCATGTAAAAATCAACTTAATTTAAATGGACGTCTATTTTATCATTATAGTGACAATATTTGGAACGACATCCAAGCATAAAAAAAATAGTGTTACCATGACTACTAGTTTGTTATTTATCGTGAGCAAACATATTGTTTGTAAAAAAAAATATTCTAAAAAGTGTTTCAAATAGTCTTAAAATGACTTGCTTTTTGATTTTATGAAAAGAAATTGTTCAAGATACCAAAAAGATGCAGCGAGCGGATATTCTCTCCTGCCTCTATAGATTTTCCGAATAAACCTGCGATCATCTCTGCTGTGATCTTTATATTATTATGATTCGATCACTTAGATGGAAGAAGGTATCGTGATGAAGATTCTGACTTCAAACATGTCAAAGTATCACTAAACAATTTCAAGAGAAAACTTCTTCAGCTGTTTTGGCCAAAGTAAAACGATTTTATAGAAGAGCCTACTATTTCCTCAGCAATCCAATAAATCATTTAGTTCCTAAAACTACCCAAAAAAAACTATAAGTGAACACTTCTGAGCACTCCTCTAACATCTCCATAAACATTTCCCAGCACCGCCTAGATCTCCCTCTGAATTTTATAGAAGAGCCTACTATTTCCTCAGCAATCCAATAAATCATTTAGTTCCTAAAACTACCGAAAAAAACTACAAGTGAACACTTCTGAGCACTCCTCTAACATCTCCATAAACATTTCCCAGCACCGCCTAGATCTCCCTCTGAATTTTATAGAAGAGCCTACTATTTCCTCAGCAATCCAATAAATCATTTAGTTCCTAAAACTACCCAAAAAAAACTATAAGTGAACACTTCTGAGCACTCCTCTAACATCTCCATAAATATTTCCCAGCGCCGGCTAGATCCCCCTTTAAAATGCTTACGAATGTCGTTCCAACGCCATCAGTTCGCGTCGACGACGTCGCATTAGGGCCAGTTTACAAGATAAGCGCACGCATCACGTAAGAGCCGCTGAAACGGAGGAGAAAAGAGCGCGAGCTCGTAAAGATTCGATCCGTAGGCACAGTGACGCCCTCCGCTTCAGTCGTAACGATTCTAATCTCGGAGTTGGTTCGCGGGGCTCTCGCTATCGCATAGACCAGCGAATGGCGTGCGATAATGCGACCTGGCTGTTGCATATATCGAGCCGGTGGTTAACCAATTTCATTAACACTAACGGTTTATTCGTTGGGTAATCCGTTTCCCTTTTCGCCTCCTATTGCCAACAGCGGGCCTGCCAACCACCCCCACGTCGAGATCGTGTGTACCTTTGTACTTCCTTGCTAAATCGGATTACAGTCTCGTGTCGCGCCTCGTGTACACTGTAAAAACGAGCTAACAGCGAAGACGAGCTAACAGACTCGCCCCTTCTGCCTTAACGTTATCCCCATGGGAACACGTCTAAATCCAATGCTGGCTCTCGTGATCTCTGGATTCGACTACGACAGAGTCATTATACGGTGTCGAAAACTGAAAACGGGCGGGGTTTCTGTCGATCCACGTCGTAGTTTCTTAACTTTTGTTGAAGTATACACGGTGGCTCACTTATAAGGAACGGCGAAATTATTTTCAGTGGTATTGAGAGTAAGAAGAAGTGACTAAGAGGAGGAGTTTATTTGATTTCAAGAGTCATCTGGAATGTTACTTCGAAGACCTTAAAGTGTTTTTTTTTTGTGGATATTATATTCTGTGTTTTAATGATGGTGATGATAAACAGAAAGCCCCCTGAAAGTCATCTTGAAGGTTATTTCAAGTTCGTTAAGATGTTTTTTCTTTTGGACATTATATTCTGTGTTTTTGTAATGCGAGGTTGTAGCTGACGTCAACATAAGTTCAACAGTCTATGATATTGTGACTTTGAAATGACTCTAAATTATATAAACTCTTTTTAGTCATTTTTTCATACATTTAATAGTATACTAAATAAATGGAAATAATCTAGATGTTCATTATAAGTCGGACACCCTGTATACCTTTAAGATGGTTGCTTGAACTATTATTTGTCTGTTCTGTATTTCTCTTTTACTTGCACTACTCGAATTATTAATCTATAGACACGGTTACAAAATCTGCATTTTTACAGATTTGGTTAAAAGAGAATAAATAGAACTTCCGTTCCTTCGGTGTGTATTTCATAATGTTCAGAACAAAGTGAAACTTCGTTTGTTAATCAATTCCGCTAACTTGGAACAATAACTGGTGCACGTACTGCGATATTCAAGCAAAGCTATAGAAATCTCTATAGCTGTGTTTCGAACGCCTCGAATATTCAACTACCGGACGGCCAGCTTCAGGGCAGAGAATCGTATCGTCTGGGAAACTAAATTATTGATAGGTGATTAAACTTTTAATGTTTGAACATCGACGGAAGGCCGCGGGGCTAAAACGAACAAAGCCAAATCCATTGTGATCGAAGGCTTCGAGAGACGCGAAAACGGCGAAAACGGAGAATACTCGGTGTATCGAGGCGGAGAAGGTGGGTATAAAAGCGTTTCTATCGAGCCGTCAAAAGGAACTTGCGAAATAACGTCTCCAACAATGGAGGATCTCGCACGTTCCGCCATTTCTGCATGGACGTCCACCGCGTTTGGCGGCACAAATACGAAAAATACGACACGAACCACTGTGTGGACCGTTCGCCTTAAATAGTTTCTATAAAAAAAAATTGAAAAGCTTCACGAATAATTGAAATTAATTTTTCCTTGCATAAACTACAATGTCTTATCTGTATTATAAAAGTGTATTATAAAAGTGGTGTAAGTCAATAATAAATATTTCGCAAAAATGCTTCTATACTATCGTACTATAAATTGATATAACGCCAAATAAGTGATACGTTAAATTCTTTTTGTTGGACATTTCACTTGTATACCACTTTGAAAATCACATTTATTAATGTTCATAAATTTCTCTCTGTGAAAGAAGAGTAAACGATCACTCTTTATAATAAATGTCTTTCGAGCTCATTCATGGTTATCGTATTTCATCAGTATGGTAAATTAATTCCCGTCGAAATATTTCATGAAACCGTGTCGGAAAGGTACCATCATCGGTGGTCGTGGAAGACCCCCAATTTGTATGAATCGAACATGACCGTTTCGATGGTACGGGCACGTTGTTGTCACAGCCATTCAATTTCTCATGAGATTGATTATCAATGGTCTAGTGGTACGTGAGAAAAGGGAAAACGACTCGAACACTGACCTCGAGGAAGTCCTTCACGGTGGTGTCGACGACCATCAGGGGCCGTTGAATCAGGTGCACCACACCGTTGCGCACCGGGATGTTCGCTTTAATTATCTCTGCGAGCACGACTCCGGTCGGATATTTCGCGTCGCCCGCCACGGTATTGGACTTGACGTAAACTGAAAATAACAATTTCCAATTATCCGTGCGACGTTATATACAGGGTGCCAATAAAAAAATGCGGGACACTTTCATAGGGTGGATTCTATTTAAGACGAAAATCAAGACTGCAATTCAAAATCAAATCAAAAGCACAATTGCGTTTAAGGTTTCGTTTCTGAGTTAGTAATTGTTGAAAATATAGAAAGAATTGGTATGAAATGGTCTGACGTGATTGGTTATACTACTTTAACTGTTGATTCTCAGCTGATACACACTAGGCTCGATCGATGACTTGATACCAAATTTTTTGTCAACTCTTTTCCAGAGTTCAGAGATACTAATGAGAAGAGTTCGTCAAGCATCATAACAAGTAATTTATTTCTTACCTATCTTCTATAAGTTTATTTATAAAACACTGAAGGCGACCTTGAAAACTCTGGAGAAAAGGATTGACAATAAATTTGGCACAACCATCTTAAATCTCTTCTTCAATCATGTTATATTAGTAGAAAAAAATTCAATCGAACAGCTAGCAGTAGAATAATCTAAGCTGTTCACGTTTCGTGGTCTACCCTGTATATTCTGAAAAAATGATTTTCGTGTATACCATGAACCCTTACTTAGACAACTCGTCTCAGAGAAGAGTTTGAACTTTCTTTCGTTATCACCACCTAGTAGAGAATTTCAGAAGCTCCACTGGTTGAACAGCTTAAATAGGTAGAAAATGATCTTTTTATTTTCACAAGGACGAAGGAAAACAAGCCTTCAGTTGGTTATTAAAAGTATCGCGAAATAGTCATTACCGGATTATTCATTTCAGAGGGAATTTTGAGGGTTATAATGATCTCACCTTTGTCGTGTTGTTTGAGAAAGCTAACGGTGACCTTGATGTTGTCGGAGAACGCGAGGGTCTCGTAGGGGATGTTGTCAGGTGTCGGTGATGTGAAGAGGACGTGGTTAGGTATCACGTGGCCATCGATCACCACGCGGTCAACCTTTTCCGGTCTGGGTGTCGGCTGCAAAAAAATAACAGAAAGGTACAGAAAATTTAATAAAACGGAGAAAAACAAAAAAAAGGATGCGATTATTATCAGAACTATGGCGATAATTCCTCGACTCGTCACAAGAGGGTCGCAATTAGTAATAAATTCTCGTAAGTTCTCGGTTCATCGAGTTACCACAATCAGAGGATCCTTCCAGAATCGAATATTCCTTCATTGTAAAATTTCGCCACTGTTACAATAAATTAGTCGGCAGTAATAAAGTTTCACTAGGTTTTGGAGGATCTCTTCGGGGTTGATAAGACTGTAGACGACTGTACTTGACAAGTTTAGGTGCCTTTCACTTTGTCCTTCTTCGCGGGGGCACTTCATGTACGGATTCCTTGGCTACTCTAAATCTTGTTGAACTGTTCATCAATTGTACGGGTTCCCTTTCGAAGTTTTTAGTAATTGTACGGGTTCCACCTGAAAGGGTTCCTACGGACTTTCAGGCTCCTAGCTCCATAAATCCAAGATTTTCTACTCGAGCAAACACTTACTACGTTGCATGCTGGGAGAATTTCAACGACGACGATCAGTAAGACCATCAAGATTATTTAGAAATTGTGTTTCCCAGAATTTGTTGCATTTTCTACTTTTCGAACGTATCATTAGAACAAAGACATTCCTAAGTTCATTTACGATATTTTAATTTATTGAATTTTCAAAGTTGACAATTATCAAAGAAAATTTTGTTTCCCTTTTTAAAGCTGTCATTTCCTTATTATTCAAAATTACTCATTCATACTATAATTTTACAAGGAATACTCTGTCAAAATTTGAAGTTAATCGGATGAATAGTTTCAGGGATCAGCTGGATACCAGCTGACACGTTCCTGTCATCCATGACGGTAGACAATGTTGCAAAACTCCTTCATTTTGTAATTTTACATAATAACTAATGGACGAAAATAAAATGAAAATGTTGCCTAACAACCCTTAAAAGGATCCCAATATTATATATTGAATGCTGATAGACGAAGGACCCAAAGTGGTCTCTTTCCACCCTGCGACGATAGGTCTGTTTAATCTCATGGACCCTCTTTCAAAATCGCACGCATTCTAGAAACTCCATCATAAATTCTCCCATGACTCTACTTAAAACACGTTGACGCTAACACACGTAAGAGTTACAACTGGATGCTACCGTGGACGACGGAGGGGGGAGGGTAACAGGACCAACGAAATGGCAAAGTGCATGAAATAAGCATCCCGTTGGCCTCGTGTTCGTCGATTTAATGAACCGATCGTTACACGCTCCCTTGTTACTGAGACACAGTTCGATTAAAGGTCGTTCCGCCGTGAAGGATGAGCCCCTAGAATGAGCGATTGATTTCCGATTCGTGATAAGACACGGCCAGACGACGGTGTTGTGTGCACGTGACTCATATTAACGCCGGCCAGGTAACAAGGTTCTCGCGTGACAAAGATAAAGCAGTCTGTCCGTACTCGCGGATCGGAAATATTTTACGGATCCCTGGCCAAACACCTTGCTCGGGCGTGTCGTGTTTCGTGGGAAATGCTTTGGTGTACTATAAATTGTTGGGGATGGAAAGATGGAACCTGGTGTACACGTCTGTGATAGCTGCACGGAGACAGAAAGGTGTTGAATGGATACTTTGTGGGCCCTCCGAGTGGTTAAAGTAGGCTCGTGTTCGGTGTTATTGTGGCGTTAGGGGGATCGCTTCTGTAATAAATATTAGAAGGTTTTACGAAATTGGTGGCAGGATAAAATAAATACTGTTTGGGGGATATGAAAGTCGAATGGATAATGCTTATACTACTATGAAGCAATAAACTTCACCTGAAATATATAATTGTTGCAAAATGTCAGGTTTTCTTTGTACAGAACAGGTGTCCTAATACTTATGAGCAATAGTATAAGTAGAATGATTCGTCTTTCGAATCACATAAGGAGAATAGGTGACATGTTCGTTGGCAGCAGAAGATCGTGAAGGACGTGTCATGTTCCATCGATTTGTACTTTCATTCTGATGGAGAAAAAATGTACAAATAAGTGGAAAAAACAAAAATTTGTTCCCCTACTGTAAAAAAATTTAATTTCTTTTTAAGTTTTAAGAAAACATTTGAAAGTTTATCGAACAAATCAAAGGAAAACAAGTGACGTTTACGTTTATAACAGACATACGTAGAAAATACTACCAAACGCAATGAAACCTACGTTTGCACACTTTGATCTTAACTTTTAGTTATACTTGATCGTTAACATATCTTTTTTTCCGTGCCAGTATGATCTCCGTAAAAAAATTCTGTAACCACCTAATTTTGTTTGAAAATATAATTTTTGGGTGGGTTATCTCGAACGAGACAAGTGAAATAAAGGGTGACTACGAGGAAATACGTAAAGTAGAATGGGAATACACACGTCGAAAACGGACTGTCTATAATCTTCTAAGTAGAACATTCTCCTCACAGTTAGCCAAGTAGAATGAATCGTTCATGTTCAATCGAGTAGAACGTATTATCGACGATCAGACAAGTAGAACGGTCCATTAATAGTCAACCAAGTGAAATAATAATGTCACTGAAGCGACAGGCGTGAATACTAATGACATAATTAGTGCCATTCATCACAACCGATCTAGAACAAAGATTTTTGGTTAGAATTCTAGTTTGAACATTTCTCAAACTTCGATCTTTTAATATAACAACAGAAGAAAAGGACTATTCAGTCTTCAAACACAACACCACGATAATGAACTATTAGCCTGTGGATTTTATTTCTTTGAAGTTTGTCAGGTAAATGAACAGGAAATAAGGAGGGAGGTGCTGGTAAGATAAGGGGAACAAAGAAGTTTATTTCTTTGGCGGACGGTGCAGGCAATATCCTCACGGGGACGCAGCAACGAAGCGGAGAAACGAGGAAAAACAAAGGGAGGGAACGGAATCGTTTCGTCGGTAGCTGCGTTACGTGATTACATCTTACATGATATCGTGAATAATTCCGCGGGCATGGCAGGCACGTACGGCTCGCAGCCTGCATCCAGAATTAGCTGAATGAAAGAATCCAGGGAGGACGGGGGGACCGACTGAAGTCTAGAGACTGCCAGAAAACACAGGGACACGCGAGGAATTGGAACGAGATGGTGACCCTTAAGTGATATCACTGTTAAGGGAGTATTCTAATCTAGAATAAAACTTTTGACCCTTAAGTGATATGATTGAAGGGGTATTCTAGTCTAGACCTTTGAAAAAATCGATGTTTTATTGTATTTTCTGAAAGTATAGATTTTCAAAAGTAGATCTGCAGAAGGATTTGGCAGAATTCGCAAAATTAACGACGTTATAGATTTTATAATGATTACGGTATTACACGAAATAGTATTATCAAATAATTATTTTTTGTGATTTTGTTTCCCCCGCGAAACACGAACAAAATCGAGGAAATCGATATTGAAACTTCAAGGTGTCGCTATTTTTGGAATTTCAGGTATTTTCTTTCATTCAAGAGTTTTTTTTAATTTTTGTTTCAAATGAACAGAATGATGTCAACCAGTAAGACATTTTTTTAAAGCGCCGTATTAATTGATCTATAATTCCATCAATTTCGATTATTTTCACTTTACAAAAATAATGAATATTCCTAACCTCTTCAGGGACCAATTTATTAAGACCAGAAGGAATATTTTGTTCATTCTTCATAATATTAATCTTTATTAAATCTAATTTTCTTCTTCAATAACAAACTAGTAGGCACAGTAACACCGTTCTTCTAATGTTTTCAAATCACTTGAAAAACTTTTTTACTGCCGATCGTCAGGAAATGTTCCAAATATTGCCGCTAAAGTGATAAAGTCTCTGTTCACTCTAGTGGACAAACGCAGATAGCAAGTTAAACGGTGTACCGACATGACGGTTAAAAATTGTCGATAAAGTTTGTAGCGTGTGAATAAAAACATATCCTGGTGAACTGTTAATAATTTGTCTAATATCTAAAATTATCAAGGCAATTTTCTACAATATTTCCAACCGTTTGTGGTGAATATCCCAAATTACCAAGAACTTGTCTCAAATTCACACTGTACGTGTTCCACCGACAACAAAAATTCTAAAGAACCACTACCAAACGATATACAAATAAATATCGTATAACACACTACACCGTAAGGAACAAACTGCAAGAGCAGATACTACTTCATACATTACGCGAACCAATATACGTTCACTCCGATTCCCTTCACCAGACCCCGAATGGTAGCAAGCTCTCGCCACAACAGTTCATCCTTGTTCCACGTTTCCAACACACGCACACATACTCGCACATCCCCCACGAACGTTTTCCCTCATCGACTTTCTTTCGTGCTTTCTCAACGGAGCTTCGTTTTCGGAAAACACAAAGGCCATTTCGCCAGCTCGTTCGCGCTCCCCGTTATTAATTCGACCCCTCTTTTCTTCCCGCCACGCGGCAGTAATGGCCGCCATTGACGACCTCACATTCGAGCGAAGAAAGCTCCTGGGTTCCTTACGTGCCCACCCCTCCCCAGCATTGAGGCATCGATGTCGTTCGGTTGGAAAAGCCTCGAACGACGACGAGCTCCGCCGAGTGCTTTTCGATACGGTTCGATCGCTCCCGCCGCGAACGGAACGAGTCCTTTCAGGCCCGAAACTCGATTCTGGCCTTTCTCCCTTTATACCAAGTCCCGCGGCAGCTCACGCACACAGAGGACACACACACGCCGTAGGATCGGGGGCTACGAATGCATATCCGATATCTCGAGGGTGCACCACGAAATTCGAATTCTGTGCGAGCAACCAACGAGTATAATCTTTTCGAATCTCAGTGAATCCACCTGTTTATTTCCATTCTTTTATTAACGAGCTATTCTCATTTGGAGGGGAGTGAAAAATTGATATTTTTTTCTAATTGCATTTTCTTAAAGTATAACATTTCGAATGTATGTGCCTAAAAGGTTACGAGTGGATTCGACGAAATGACAGAGTTACAACGATTTCACTAACTGGGAATACCCCCTTAATACTAGAACTACTAGTATTGAATGCTTTCTTAATTGTAAATGCCATTTATAAAGGATGACCAACTTTTCGAATTTTCTTTATAATTTTGAATAAACATTATTAATATAATTTTCGATGAATATGTAAATACTTTAGTCACTAATTTGTTTTCTCCTTATTTCTTAACGTGTTCCTTTTTAGATTTTTTAATTATCATTTGAAACTAAATTTTCATAATTTTCTTCTCAAATCGTACCAAACTATATCAGTGTGGTTCAGCACTTTTCGCTCTGTTTTAACTTTGTCGGTCGGCACCAAAAGGGTTAATTTGTTCTCACGAGAAAAAGTTCCGAGGTGTAAAGCTGACGTTCTGATGAGCCTTCTCACATTGATAGAGCTTGAAATACTGAAGCTAATCATACCAAGGTTAATAGTTTACGAGTTATTTAACGTTAAACTAATGGTCCATCGGACATCTTCTAAAAGTGTGGATCCATTTACCAGAAGCGAGCTTGCTAGGGTCGGTAAAACTACTGACACGCTTATGTTTTTATAGTGTGTTCGAATCTTGTCGGAGGAATTGTTTCGTCAGTAAAACGTTCAATTTCTCTCCTCGTCGAACAAACGATCGCAACACTTTCAGGCGGTCGCGTGCCAGCTGAAATATCCGGTGGTTCTTGGCCAGCCATTTTTGTTACGGTATCGATTCGACGAAAGTAATGCTGAGTTATTAGGTGTACCAACAAGTAGTCCACTATTTCATCGAATTACGTGATAATACACTTTAAATTAAAAGTGTCCTTTCGATTTTTCACCGAGTAAAAATGACGTAGGATGCTGGAAAATTATTATTATAAGTATAAATAAAACAATATAGGTCCTTGACCTCCATAGAAACGAATATCGATTTCTTGAAGAAATAGTGGACTACTCACTGGCATACCTATTTGCATTACTGTAAATTACGTTATCTCCTATAAAGTTTGCAAAGTGTGTTTTAATATACTACGGCTTTGATATCCAGATTATATTTTCACAGGAATGTTTTCAATCGATCGCAGGGATCTATCAGGTTATCACCGTCTGCACGGTGGCCCCACCACAGCCATCGCCGACATTTCTAAGATTCGATCCTTGCGCGACATCAGAAACAAGCGAAGTAGGTCGGAGAAAACTCGATTTCTATGAGTTCAGAGATCCCCGAGCTAAAAGGATCGGGTCACGCGCCAAAGTCCTGGTACAAGGAAATCGTGGATCCTCGTGAGGAAACGATGGAACTTTTCGAAATTGAGAACACAGAGCCCCTTCCCGGTTCCCTTTTTGCTCGCCTTTTTCGTTGCTGATGCACGCCATATCGTGGACGTTGTCGTACGTAGAAGTTTTCGCGGTTTTCGACGAAAATGCTGATTTCACACCCGAAGTTTGATTACACCGACAACCGACCGTGGAAACAGAACGGACGCACGCGACTTTAATCGCGTGATCGCGAATAACCGATACCGGCGAATTGCTGATGGTATCGCGACGGAATTAGCCTGGTGGAGTATTATAAACTCGACCAGTGTTATTGCAATTTAATGGCGTCTGTTCGCGGGACTTTGACTAATCTTAACGGTTGGAGATTACTGTTTTTCGTATTTACGTCAAGGAAAAGTCTGGTTTCGGTGAACTTTTTGTCAGTTGTTTTTTAGGTTACCACTCTCCAAGTGATACGAGTGTATTGGTAAATAGGGATAAACCGATACTGTCAAGGTATCGATGCTTTTACTCGTAACTTGTGTCGACAAAAAGTATCGATATCTAGTTTTAGTATCGTATCAAAAGTATCGATACATACTTGTGTTGAAGGAAAGTGAATACAAAGTTCTTTTTTATTAGTAATGTAATATAGTTTAACCAGAGGTGAGCAGAATTTTATTCGAATAACATATAGTGAAAAGCTGTAGTACATATCGTCCTGAGCTTTAAACAGTTTATGAGATTGAATAATTGTTTGCCAAATGTTCACTCATTCAGGAAGAGGCATTTTTTTGTTGTGGAAATTTGAATTTCCATGTTTAAACGATTGAAAATAACGGAGTACTGTTTTATCTTGTATTCGTTATTGGAAATACTTTATCTAGATAATGAATTTACCAATCTCTGATTTTAACGAAAATATGTTTTAATAATGAACATTTATCAACGAAGATATATCGTAACCGAAAGTATCGATACTAAAAGTACTCGGTATCGAAACGAAAGTATCGATTATTTACTTGTATTTACTTGAATCGGTTCATCCCTATTAGTAAACAACGCTGCACGACTTTCCTGATTACGAAAATAATTAATAATTGGGTATTGTATTGTTGCTTCTGAAAATACGTAAGAGGTAGAAATAAGAGATTCTTTATCTACCTATTCCTACGTAAAAAAAATAAGTGGAAAGTATAGAATAGAATTTTTTCATTTGAGACTTGGTTTTCGAGAAAATCGACTTTGAAGATTAATCTGAAACGCGTGTATTCCCCATGGTAGTAAGTAGAAACGGACAGCAATGAACAGACGTGCTAGCCAGTCCTATTCAATTACACGTGTATCCAGCAGATTTTCACAGACAATTTTCTCGAAAACCAAGTCTCAAATGAAAAAATTTTAATCCACATTTTCGACTTATTTTTTCACGAAGAATCATCCTTTAGCAAGTTGTACTACCAGTTCCATGACATCCTGTATACCGTGAAGTCACTGAAAATCGACAATCCCTGTTCTTTCTTCACACTCTGTATAATGCATATCTATTCAATTTCTCGACAAACCTCGGATAGTTCGATGTTCGTTAATCCTATTTTAATGGAAAATAATCACGTTGCGGCCGAGTTCGATCGTAAACTTTATGGATTCCGGTTCCATCGTAACCCGGTAATCCATCAGAATTTGTCGCCCTCGGTGACGAGCGGGATACGAGTCGCCATTGCCTGAATCTTTTCAAGGCTTCGTAACAGACGATATTAAGGTACTCTCGGGTTGATCGATATGGGGGAGGGGAGGGGAGGGTTGGTAAGCAGCTTACCTTGAAACCCTCCTCAACGGGGATGAGAAAGGTGTAACGTCCATCCGCCTTGAAGACCTCCTCCTTCTGTTCCTTGACGACCCGTTGTCGGAAGGTGCTGTGGGAAAATTGTAACCGTTAATTGAATTGAACCTTCTTCGAATTTTCGTTGATTACACTCATTCACATGCCGAATGACGCGAGCACTCGTAAATTTGACTTTTATCGTTCCTTAAATATAATACCCGTTCCACGAACGGTTGATGTATTATTAATTTTATTTATTAATTTTTTTATTCATTTTTACCGTATTTTATAGGTACTAGTGGTTAATGACCGCGTACTAGAATGTCTTGTGCATTATACGAAAGTAATATTTTTAAGATTAATTGTGTTGCTTAATAAACTAGGTTGCGTTGACAGCGGAATGAATTTCAAGAAGAGTTATTGGATTGGAAAATCGTTCGAAAATACCGAAAAAATAAACAGATCTATGGCTGAATTTTTTAATAAAACAAAACGAACACTTTTTTGTAGAGAGGGAATGTTTCAGTTATTCAAACGATGATAGAAGGTCGTCGAACAAAATGGGATATGTATTATTGATTACGTAAGTTTTATACAAAATTGGCAGAACATAATATTCTTGTAAAGAAACGCAAACGAGCTTGTTGCACAACCTACTAAATAGAAAATGTAGATTTCTGTTCAATTCTAGTCAGTTACCTTCTTTCATGAAACACTCCAAAAAAAATCTGTATCTGTACAAAGATCCACAACAGTTGAGCTATAATTTATGGAAGATCTCGCGAGGAATTATTTTCGAAACAAGCGAATTGTGAGAATTTTCTACAGTTTATGATGAATAAAGATGATACGATCTCGTGGAAACCTTATATTAAAAAAACAGCTACGAAAATGTACTAAAGAAGTTCCGAAACTTCTGATGCTTTACGCTGCCAGAAACAAGCGAAAACGGTGCCTCGGCCCCTGGGACACTAAATGAAATGCAGCAAAGCTTAAAGAAGTTTCGTCTGAGCGAGGCTAATTCACTCAAGTTTTACTTACTAAGATGGCGGCCTCCGCGGAGGTGTACCTTTAAATATCGATAAAGACTTGACAAAGTGAGGATCGAAGTTAGTTGAGAACAACTACGGAACTTGGGTCTATCTTCATCTTCCGGCGAACGTGACCGGATCGGGCGAGTTATATTTTACTTAGGAGTTACGAGATAGAGAAACTGTTTTTTATAATAACTAGAGAAACTGTTCTTTATAATAAGTGGAGAAACTGTTTTTTATGAAATAAATATCGCGAACAGAACAGTTACGCAACACAGTTATCGTTTTCCGATTCTGATGTAATGTAAATTATTTTATTAAATGTATATATATTTTAATTATTATCATAAATAGACAGAGGATATTTATGCATTTATAGGGAATTCGAAAATTGAAAAGTCGCCAAAATGAAAAGTTTAGTGACAAATAATAATGTCGTAATATTATTTTTAATTCAATAGATGAGATCATATTCTCTACAGTTCTGGTTCCTGTAAAATGAACTATAAAAATTGGAACTTCCATAAACATGCGCGGACTAGTCATACACTTTCTAGTAAAAATATTAATTTATTCAATGGTTGGAGCGATCCTTTTCTATGGTATGGTGTTTTATGAATTTTTGGAAAATTAATTCAAGAGCATGTAAGAAATACAAGAAATATATCCCTTACGATGTTATGATAATAGAGAATGTAATGCACTATGTTTAACGAGTTCTTTCGTTAAAAGTATGTTTCATTGAATTCTTCTGATATAATTTGTAATCAAAGCGTTATGGTTCGCCAATGCAGGATTGCGTTTGGATAGTTACGTCTCATCATGAACAATACAGTCCCGTAACAATACAAGTCTAAAGAGATTTTGTTTGTAAAATACAGTATAAATCGTTTCGATGAAAGAATCGTATAATTATTTAAATCCAAGAAATCCTCGATTACGAATTCATTGGTAATTCACTAAAGATTTATCACTAACCGTACTCGATGAACACCCAACTCAAGGTTCTCGCTCTGGTTCAAAAATTCGAAGGCGTTCGGACTGGAAATAGGCATTTCCGCTGAATTCGAACGTACTGGCTCCAGTACTTCATTTATAATATGCAGGACCTGTAACAAAACCAAAAGTACCTTTGTAAATAATAATGTTTTCAAACGAGCATAAGATAATCCATATAAATAGGTAAAATAAATTTTGGTAAATACCTACTCATCTTGTAATAGTGTAACATTTATAAACAATATTTCTTTCAACGGTGCATAAGATATTATACATTAATAGGGAAAATAAATTTTAGTGAATACTCATTTGACATGAGTCAAATCACAGTCGTGTAATATTGAATATGAAAGTGAATTATGATAGGAGAATGTGAAACGATCTGTTATATTAATAAGTAAATTACATTATGTATAGTACATTATAACTACAGTAACCACATTCTCTACGAATTCCAGAAATGTTCGCTTTAATTAAAACGAAACTTTTCTTTCGTTAGTTAGAGTATTTTTCAACTGGCAGATTGGAAGGTATTCGCAACTGAAAAACATCGAAATTACCCGGAGAGGATAAATTAACGAGAATGCCTACGGACTCAGGATGATCCAACTAAATTGCGTGCCGTTTCAAAGCTTGGCCGAAAACCCGTGTGCAAGGTATACAGTTCATACGAGAAAATACGTTGAAATTTCGAATATATCGCGCGAGAAAATCGAAAAATTCGGATCAACACGATCTGTACATGGAAACTGTTCAGTGAATTTCGAGCGTCGATGAACTTTGAAATATGAGAACTGTAAAGACTTCTATATGCTTCGCATTTCTTGATTAGTTTCAGTTTCGACTTACAAAATGTATTCAGTGTACCTACGTGTATCATTAACGTATCTACATGCATCGTTTCAAATATTCCGACAATTTTTTCTATGAATTGAACGAAACTACAATAATACTGTAATAGTGCATCTATTTAATCGTTACGTTAATAATAGTAATTAATCCTCATGCACTGGTCGGGAATTGTTGCCTTACTATTCTTTGAATTAAACTTGATCCAAGCTAAAAACGTATTAAGGAACTATATTGACATGTCATTTGATCGATATCATGTAGATTACTCGTGTCAAATTAATTTACTAGTTTCTTTATATTACTAGTTTATGTAATTCTAAAGAATATAATTGAAAGTTGAAGTCTGAGGTCAGGTCCAATTCACCTGAACAGTGTACGAGGGTTAACCATATTTCAGTCTTTCATTATCGATTTACTCATGTCATAGTAAAGTGTCTAGGATTCCAGCACTAGATAGCTACCCAGAATTTGCCCCTGCAAGACATTTGCATGCCAAATATGCATGGCCCAAAGTGACCAGTGACATCTCCTTTGTCAAAATATCTTCGTTATACGCATTCTGTGCCAAGGTATTAAAATAACGAATATAAAAGCTGATATCACAATAGACTTCGATTAATTAAGAAGTAGATTAAAATTCAATTACAATTCTTCAAATCCTAAGAACGAAGAATTATATTCCAACATTTAACAATCACGAAATACAACGACAATAGTTACCCACACAAATCTCCCAAATGCCTTTCAGTCTCCCACAATACATTAAATTCCCGGTAAACAATAAACATTTCCCCATAAACAATCCCTTCCACCGCGTTACACCAACAATTCCGGAAAAGAACGCTCTCCAGGCGGATCGCGACATCCCCTAATTATTTCACCGCGTGACAAGGAAAGAAAAAAGGAAGGAACATCGAACGAAGCAAAAAACGCGAGTACAGGAAGGGGGTTTGCCGGGTCGCCCTTTTAGATCGACATGCCGAACGAGCTCGAGAGTAAATTGCCGGCAGAGAACCTTCTACGCTTGTAAACGTAAAAGTGTATAGTTAATCTCGTGAAGCCGCGAGACCTGGCCGATACAAGCGTGGCGATGGTGTTCGGGGGTGGGTTGGGGAGGGGTGGGGGGTGGTTGGAAAGATATACTAAGACAAACGACATCGCGGCGTAGCCGAAGGAAACGGGGACACGACGGAACGATGGAGGAAGAAGATAAAGCGAGAACCAGAGGAAAAAAGGGACACCCGAAGGAACCAGCCCTGGGGTATTTATTCTGCGGCTGGGAACGCAACTATTTCATGGGTGTCGAGTCGGATACCATTGGAACCGGGGCTGGATACGTCCTCCACCTCTTTCCAGCCCCTCCTCCCCTCCTCCGTCCTCATTGGAAAAGGTGCACGGCCATTTACTATCCCGGTAGCTCGCGACTGGAACGTCCTACCAGCTATTTATCCGCTTTTCTTCGCGATCGTCGTGATTCTTTTATCCTAGCCGAGTATTCCTCTTCCTACTCGATAACGACGTTTTGTTCTTTCACGGCAGAGAGGGTTGACGAACGGTGCGAGGAACGGGGTTGTATGGGTACATGGATGGTGGCGCGAAAGGGCTCTTTCTATTTAGTTTAACCTTCTGTCGTTTGTTATTCTTGCCCGAGTGGCCTACGACGATAAGGTACAGAAGCAAAAATTGGATCTAGGGTGTATATTATTGTAGGGAGATATTAAGAGTATGATCACCGATGGCGCCAATACAGTAAATCCTCGGTGAGTGTTCGAAGGTTCCTCGGTACTTAGGGGTCCCCAGGTGTAACGCTGACTTTTTGAGTTTGGAATTCTGAAGGCAATGATATTTGTTTCAGCCGCATATGGCCATTAGTTTATGAAATATTTAATGTTCAGTGCTGAGGAGCCTGTGAACAATCATCCAGGATGTACTGTAGTTATTTGAGTGCCAACTACAGTAAATCCTTGATGAGTGCTTGAAGACTCGTCGGCACTGAACAGTAAGTATTTTATATAATAATGGACACACGCAGCTGAAACAAATATCGTTGGCTTCTGAATTCCAAGGTCTGTCATTGTGTTAAACCTCATTAAAAACTCAGCGTAACAGTGCCAGGGAGCCTTCGAAATATACATCAAATTTACGCACCGTCAAAAATGTTCGAACAACAACAAAACAAAACGATCCTGCCACGTCATTAACGTTTGCTCAACGGACGGGTCGTCGTGCCAAAATGAATGAGTAAGATAGCCTATATCCGTTTGATAAATATTCATTTGTCAGATTTTTAAAAATAGCACTACTTCATATTAGGTATACTGTTGCATATTTAGCCACTTTCCTCTATACTTCGCAAATACAACTTTGCATGAACACATTCAATTCTTCAGACAATAGACCACTTTATCACACTTCATTTACACTTTATTATTCAGGAAATTGCATAACTTACATCAAAAAGTACTCACGTAACACTGTCAATTATTGTGAAGTTTTAAAATAGTCGACAATTTGAACAGAGCACTCAACACCGCAGAAAACATCACGATCCTAGTAAGAACACGTGTACGACGATCGGCGTTTGTCGTCGAACTGATGCAAATGACGTCGATACACGGCTGCAACTACGTGGAAAAATTAAAAACCGTTATAAAAACAATAATAGGTTTCGGGCGGGTCTCCCCTTCACAGCAAATCCCATACTTCGTTCATTCCTGACAAAAATAGTCAACGAAAAGTGAAAGTTACCCTCGAAGCAATTCGTAGCCATAATACTGCTTCCAATTCGACGCGGCTGTAAGGTTGCCACGATCCCATTCAGTATTAACGGTGCTTAATATCCAGGTTCGTAAGTTCAAATAAACGAACTCCCCGATCCCACGACTGCTTACTTATTCCCTCGGAGCATATTTATTCTCGGAAACTACCGTAAGCTCTGCCCCCCACACGCCTATACGTAGACATCCCATACACAGCAACAGAGCGCGCGCGGTAAATCGGAAACGCGAAAGCAAAACGATAAGCTGTCGATTCCAGTTTATAAACCGCTCAGAATCCCGTAGGATGGCGGAGGGGTGGAAAGAGGAGCAGAAACAGAGATTGTGCGATAACAATGAAAATAGGGAGAAGAATCGCGAGGAGAGGGAGGGTAGGAAGAACCGTGTTCCATTTATCCGGGGTAGAGTCCTCCGTTTCCGCGAGAGGAAACGAAGAAGAGGGGAAAAAACAACGAGACCGCACGTTTGTATGCCAGAGTGGCTTCCGAGGAATGAATCGTTTCGCCTTGCTCTTGTGGAGGATGAGGTGGCGGGGGAGAGGGCGAACTACTTCTTCTTCCGTGCTCCTTTGACGGCCATTTATCTTTCTAGCCGGACACGAGTCATTGGTGAACGGGGAAGATTCGAAGCGTCCCGGAACGAATCCTTAATTTCTTATACGATTTGATATATAGTCCACGGGAAAGCGGGGTCCTGTAACTTTTAAATTCGATTGCCCGCTACGGACGATCCTTCACTGGCGTCTGGTCCAACGGGAAAGGTACAAGGGGGGATAAGGCGGTAGGACAGGTGGATATTCATTTCGTGGAAGACAATGCGAGAGATAATCTCACAGTAGCACTCGAGTTGTTGATTTCCCTTTTCGTTCTATTCTTTTTGGCGGTGCTGATGTACAGAGTGTAGCATATAAGGGAAGGTTGCCGATTTGGACCATCATATAGATTGGACCACTACTGTTACCTGTAATTTGCAACGAATTTGCGCCGTATGATAGACAATATGTGTTGCTTATATATGAAATTAATTAATACAATCATTATTATCGTACACATATTGTCTATTATAAGGCGCAAATTGCTAACACATGGCAAGTTACAGTAGTGGACTACAACCTAAGTGATGGTCCAAATTCGGTAATATTCCAGTAGTATTATAAACAGTCGAACGACGACAGTCGTTTCGAGTTATGTACAGTAAATCATCGATGACTATTCGAAACCTACTCGGCAGTGAGTGTTCAGATGTCATTCCCATCAAGGAGCTTTCGAACACTCATCGATGATTTACTGTACTTCACTTCCCACATTCACGCTTCAACTACGGAGCGATAAGACGAAGTAGTGAAACCATTTTTTCTTTAAATGTACACAGTTCTCTATTCTTAATTTTGTATTATTTGTATAATTTTGTAGTATTATATAGCTCAGTTAAATCTTAAGTATTCGTTTTCGGTTTTTAAGTTTCATCTACGAATCGTAAGA